GAGGTGGGAGATGTCTCATTTTAATCAGAAATTCGCGGACTACAATCATGCTTCATTAAGAAAGGTTTTGGTTACTTTTTACAGTTTCTGAAAAACTGATTTTCCAGAAAACAGCTCTCTGAAGACCCCTGGATAGCTACCACTATCATATTTGCATTCAGAATAGTTGATAACCTATAATCCACTAGGTTTGACTGAAAAAGCGATGTCACAGTTCGGGAGGTCCTCTCGTGAGCGTGAGTATGTTATCGTTTTTGCTATTTTTATCTATATAATAATAGTAGGAGGTGAAAGATGCAGTTGAAAGTGTACTTTTCAAAATCCGTCATGTGGTCAGCTAAATTCGCTGAATTATCTTCACACTATAACCAAAATACGAACATCTCCGAAAATAACAGGTGTTAACTTTGAGTTTGCTTTATTTTGATTATAGTGTAAAGAAGATTAAGTGAATCGTGCTGATTTCAGGATGAACTGAGTCAGAAACACGCATTCGGCTACAAAAGTAAGAAACGTCTCCTAACATTTCACAATGTTTCCCTCCAATATTGAAACATAAACAAAAACAACAAAACATAGAAGTTGTGCTGGCACATGGTAATTACTAAAGATAGCGAGTCCACTTTTTTATGTCAGAATTTTCTGTGTTTTAAGTACACATGAAACACAAACGTTTTTAAGTCTTATAATGACAGAAGAGTTTACCGTACATACATATCTTGTGTTTTAGTAATTTAAATTTGTGGAACTGCGAATAAAACTCTTTCAAATACAAAACGTATACAAAGAAAGTGTGTAGCACGCACGCTATTTGTTACAGTGTCTCTTAATGGCATAATAGTTTTTAGTTTACTATAAACTCTGAATAGTTTCACACCGGTTCCATGTTATTTATTTCTCTATGTTGTTTATTATTGTACAGATCAAAATAGATGGATTCCAATGATACTTTTTGTTGTTTTCTCAGTCTCTCTCTCTCTTTTTTCCCATCAATATATCAATTTCGAAATCAGGATGAATAATTACACTGACAGCTGATATATTCTGTTTAGGTTTCAATAGAAGAAGCAAAAAACAAAAGTTTTTTTCCTACTATGGTTTGTGAAACGCTTTTTTTATTATTGTTTTCACTCAAGACAAGGTTTCTGTTTGAATAATAGTGTTTCATAGGAGACACAGGAACAGGAAGGATAATCGAATAGATAACAGCATAAATATACTGTATATATTTTGATGAGCAAGTATAGAGAGAAATTGGCTTGGTAATATGAAAATATTGTCGTTCGATTTAATTCATGCTTTCCAGATAACTATACAGAAAAGATGTTCTTTCTTTATTTAGCTACAGATATTTCATCCAAGAAATAGTAGTTAGATATATATCTATATGTGTAATATGTAGGCTGAAGGAAAAAATTCTTCCATCTATCGTAACTGAAGACACTTGTAGATTTATAATGAGGACCATAATAACATTTTCTAGATGTCTAAAAGATTTATAACAACGATCGATATATTTGAGTGGGAGGGTTGATTGAAGATATTCATAATTTCTCGATCAAAATATATTTACAATTATGTTACTATAATATGACTATCCTGCTGAATTGTGCTATAAATCTAGCAAATTTTTTCATGTCCTTCAACTGTTGAGAAAAATATCATGTTAAGCCTTACTGTCCGACAACAATTGTCGGACGCCTCCAAGACTAAAAATATCTTCGAGTTACGTGAATAATTATCTTTCAGCTCATCGATTGTATAGACAGGCGAATTCAAAGTAACAAAAGCGTCACGAGCAACTGTCCTTAATAGACCGATAAAATGTTTGGTTTGACATTGACATTATAGTCTGCCTTGAACTATCATCTATTTTTGTGTTACTGATGTGCTCTGACTGCATTTAACTATAGTTAAATCTGCTCTCTGTTAGCGTACGATTGCATTAATAGGCGAACAGTTATAGATGATATCCAAAAACTCAAATACTCAGTCCTTAGTCATCGACAATAGATATCACTAATACTCCAATATCAAATAATCGATTTTTCACAAGATTAAGAAAAAAACCACCGAGAAGTCAACATTTTAAATTCTTGAATCTCTTACTGGAGATCTTGTATGAAGAAAGCCAGAACCTTTCGGGTGTTGAATGGAAAATTTTACATTTTATTTTCGTGTATTTCGACCATAATCGTCAGATATACGATCATAAGCTCTTTCTACGTCTAAAACAACTATATTCGAGAAGGAAAACAAAATTCGAAGTTACTGTAAGTATGAAAATCTTCGCACAAAAAATGATGATTCAAGAATTTCGAAGATTTTTGATACAAGATTCAATCATTCAAGATTTGAATCAAATTCTTGATACAAGAAGCTTTATGTGTTTGTTTTTTCTTGATGATGATTTGATTTAAGCACGTACTCTTACTATGAATAAACGAAATATCTGTTTGCTACGTTTAGATCAAGCAACCATTGCAGTGAAGATCCATTGCAAATACAACAACAAGTTCAAGGACAAACAGAAACATTGAAATGGAATTAAAGAGCAAACAATCTGATGTGACTAATTGTCATGTATTGAGATGTGACTTTAGTCTTCATGTGACATTCAGATCTTTGGTTTGTTATTCAAATCAGAGAAACAGCATGATATTGACACTATTTCTGTCATTTTTGCATTCTACACATATGGGATACGTTACAATCGTCTAATGCGGTTTTCTACCAATCTCTCACGAGTACTCATATCTGATACGAATAAAAAAATGGATTTTTAAAGTAGAATTGTAAATATTAAGACCGAAAAAAAGAGACACAAAGATAAAAATTCAAACTAAAATAGAAAACACTTAGTTGAAGCCATTAAACGTTTAACAGATGAATGTAATGAATTGATGATAGAAAAATTTGGTAAATTAATCAAAATTGAAAAGTGTCAGTGCTAGTTTACAAATAGAGACTTGAAACAACATTTAGATAAGGTGGATAGCGAATATTTTAATTCAATGCAAAAATTTGAAACCAATGGAACTACTATGTGACTATTGGACAGTCTCATCCTAGCTGAAGCAAAAAAAATAGAAGAAAAAGATGATACAACTGATTTGTTAAAAACAAATATAAAATGAATAATCGACTCGATCACTCTAGTAGATGATAAACGACGTGTTAATGAATAGTTGATGACAAATAGAATAAGAATGATAAGTAGGTTTCATTGATGTGAAAAGGTATTGAATATAAAATCCTTTTGTCCAAGATTGAAACAAGAAAAACGAAATATCGAAGAATTTGATCGATTATACACAATAGTTCAATGACAAACTGTAGAATTTGAGGCAATGAATGTCGCTATTATCTCGAAAGAGCAGTGATATTTTACTTCCAAATCCTGTTCTGTTGCCTGACAGTGGGATTTTTTAAACGTTTTTCTGTGATATTTTTTCATATTCAGCAAAGTATTACTGCTATTCAATGAATGCTACTTTGTTTTATACGTATCCGAGAAAAAAATACGTTTTTGAATAAACTATGATATGTTATCCAAAATTCTGATAAATATGAAAACGAAAGAAAATATAATATAAAAAGGCGTGTCTTTCTTCATATGTTATAAACGATTACTTGATATTAGCCATCTAGGGTTTTTTCACGATTCAGTTACTTTTTTCGCGTTAGATCATCGTTTTGATTGATTTTATATTATACTAAAGTCATTTATCTCACTTATCATGTTTACCTGGTATTTTACTCAACTAAAATTGATTCATTTTATAGGACTTGAAAAGATATGTATGATGAAGTTAAGACTATTATGTACAAATGGTAATAGAACTTAGAATTGCAGTATTCATTTAAAATCACAAATATATCAGATTAGATTTTAATTTTCTTTCCTTTAACATTATGAATTTTAACGCTTTGCACTCTTCCCATTCATTAAAATAGCAGAATAGAAGAATTCGTTTTATTTCATTCATGACATATTATAGGTAGTGTCAAAAAAGTAAATGTATTACATTTGTCTCATGAAAAATTTGTTTAGTTCTTATTTTCTTCGTCCTGTTAAATTTTTCTTTTTCAATTGTATAATATGTTTTTGTAATCTTCGTTGTTGATTTGTTGTCGTTATTTTTCGTTTACCACTACTATTTTTTCTTGATGTCAAATTTTTCAATGATAAAAATTGTTTATTTTTATTATTATATTTATTTTTTAAATAATTATTATTTCTTGATTTGTTATTGTATTTGTTACTATATATTCGTTCTTCACTAGTATTTATAGTAATACCATCGTCAGGTTTGGATTCAATAGTCAATGAAAAATTATTATCATTATTATTGAATAAATTTTCCGATTTATGTTGTACTAATTCTTCGGCAGCATTAATTAGGGCTCTTCGAACAACATTTAGAATTTTGTTTGTTTCATCATTTTGATTGTTTACATCTCCATTTATTGGTTGTTTTAACAATGTATCTTGTATCGAACTATTGTTTGCTATATTTGATTTTGATCGTGAAGTAGAATCCCGACTTTTTGTTGAATTATGACAATTACTTTTTTTATTATTATGATTAATGCGAACCATTTTTCTAAGAATAATGAGAAAAACCGACGAGAATAAAGAAGAAGAAGAATTAAGAATATAGAAAAAAAAGTTTGTAACTTGAATTGACTGTTTTATTTTTTTAATGCAAAAATATGAGAAAAGTTTGCACGTGGAAACACTACCCAATATTAAATGGCGCTGGATACAAAAATCTAGTAACTAGGCCGATTTATTGTTGTTTCAACAGGGATAATTCGTTCATGAGTTGATGTTGTAATGGGATATTTTGCTGGATAATATTGTTGAGGTTGATAATTGATCGGTGTTTCCGTTGTATTCACATAATTTCGATTGGAAATTGGTATATGTCTTGTTTCTGTATCTAATGTTGGTCTTGTACATGCTTCAATAAAATAGAGAATAGCGGCCAAAAACCCAAATGCCTATAACAAGAATATTTCATATAATTTCAGAAATTATTTAGTTAAAAGAATCAATTACTTACTGCTGCTGCAGCAGCCGCTCCCGGATGACCGTATGTAGGTTCTCCAAATAGATAACGTTCACGATAAGAATAATATCCTTTATTCACAACTGCTGGTGTTCTACGCAATTTATCTTCCCATAAAGCTGAACAAATTCCCATTGAAAGCATCATTAAACCCATTATTATATTTAGAGTACTACACTGAAATATTAATTTCGATATTAGTGAAATAGCTATATAGCTTAAATGAACTTACCAATCGGTTTATATTTGAAAAATGAGGTCCTCGAAATCGAGCACCATAAAGATGTATGAGTAAGATGGCAAGTGTCAATGCAATACAAATAATACAAAATGCTTGAAATACGGAGCGTACAACTGCCGTATAAAGATCAGGATATATATGACGCTGATTATCAGCATATTCGGCAAATAGTCGCGATGTTATCGAAACACTTATTAATGCACCCAAAACAACAAGCTTAAAAAAAAACAATAATATTAAAAAGTAAACTAGCAGAGTATATTTTCTACTCACAATTTCTAATATATTTAAAATGCCCGGAATGGTGGCTAAATATCCAATATCTAAGAGAGCCATTTCTTATAAAATAACTAAATAATCAAAGTATAGAATTATTATAGGACATTCGGTCATCAAATATATTTATTTTTGCTCACCTTCAATATCAAACAATAGATTATAATTCTCGTTTTGATTTATCCAACAGTAATAATAATTATGTAAAAACGATTATGTTTGGATGATGATGATACAGTCTTTGTAAATCTCTCCTCTATTTCTATCTTTTTTCTATCTTTTTCTTTCTTTCTTTACTTCTATCCTTAAAAAGTGCGGGTTTGCGTGGTGGTCGAGGACTGTTTGTCAAGGCTTACGGCTTCCTCATTTTTTTCTCTCCCTATTTCTCTCTTAGTCATGACGTCAGTTATATACCAATTTGAAAGAAAAGTTGATTGCTAACTCTACATCATCTGCAAATAGAAAAGAATTTCTTTTCATCTCTTTTGTACATTTTCTATCAATGTTTGTTTATTTGCCAAGGTTGCCGTAATAAGAAAAACAACATTTTCCTTATAGTGATGATAGTATATGCTTTTTTTAGTAATATGCTTGTTTTCATGCTCCAACGCTTTATTAAAGATTATGTATAACGGTCTTTTTTCTCTTTCTCTTTCCTTGTATTTCGATCTTTGTTTGTATGTACATGAAGAATATTCACATGTACAGACATGTATCCACAGAATGAGAAGAATATTTTCTAATGTGATGGTGATATTAATACGCTCACACAAGCACACAGACACACACACACACATACATAACAAAGATACACAGCAAGATTTGTAGATTATTACAATATGACATTAAGGTGAAAGAGATATGAAATTAAGAACCTGTTTGTACTTCTTCGACAACTGTTGAGAATAAAAATATTGGGATCTCACAGTTACTAATGTATTTTTCAACAATTTTGCCATATATATCGACTGATTGATTCTTATGAGAAAAAACATATACTATTATTCTGTTCAATTTATTATTGACTATTTGCAATAGATAGTATTGGTGTCGAATAAGAAAATGAAATACTGAATTTTTCGATTCAACATCTGTCTCTATATAGTTACATCTTTAATTGCCAAAATCTGATCATAACTTATTATCTTATTTTTCCATGTCAATGCCTTTTTTTTGTTTCTGTTCTAATTTAAACTCTCCAGTTTACATTGATACATCTATGAGCAGCTTTCTGTTCTTTTGTCTATTTTCAGTGATTAGATCGTGCGTCATACGTACAGGTAAATAAGGATAAGTATTATTCTACAATTCATAAAAATAGTCACAATCAAAAAAAAACTAGAATTTCTTTTCTTGTATTGCTAATTAATATACATTCTAGTCACTGTGCTTGTACTTGTTCCAGAATAAACTGTTGTACGCCATGTACTCATTCTTTATTATTAAAATAAAAGAAATATTAAATGTAGCAGTCTTTTATGACTAATAGTGGAATATAGTAGGAGTTTGTAGAGATGCTTCGGTTATCATCCTTCATCCATTACTACTCTTACAGGATCAAAAATCATTTTTTCTCAGTAACGATAAAACGTGATAAAAGCATTTTTTTCATAAAATTTCGTTTTAAAATCTTATTTATCTTCTAATGTTTAATTTAACTGATTTCTAGATTTTTGTGTATTTACTTAGCGTGCTTTCAAAAACCTGCCCCAAAAAATCTGTTAATTTAAACAAGTAATTGAAGGCAATAGTTCAAATGATTACTTCCAGCGGTACATATGTATTTACCTCTTACCTTTATTTAGTCTTTACTAATAAACCTTCGCTCAAATATGATCGAAGGAACAGACAAAATATTTGACCTTGAGATTAAAATCCAAAAGGTTGTTACTCATCATGGATTAAAACCTTGATCATACATACACGTGTCATGTGAAAGTCGTTTTTCTTCAAAATTTTCTTCGAAATCCATCGGAGATATGTCAAGATAAGTGTTGCAAGAAGGAAGAGTTTATTTACACAAAGAAATAACAAATATAAAGTTTTTATTGCATTGCGTTGTAAAAATTATCGATTTTTTTTGCAAACGGGGAAGCGCTGTAAACACGAACATATCCGTGATTTCTGTCTAGTTGCTGCATGACAAAAACATTTTGTTTTCTTTCGATAAACGTTAATCCCTTGGATGATTTCTATCAAACATAACATTGCGTATATGGTTAGTCTTTCTCATTTGTAATTTTAGCATTTTCAAATTTCTTTTCGTACAATGAATTATTCGATAAGGTAATGTATGCTTTTACTGGAAATGATCGATGCCGGACAATTAACTGTTGACTGTTATTAAAATTGCTACACTGTTGAAAAGAAAGTCCCATCAAGTCATGGAAAAAAACGAATTAATCAATCAAAAAAATCTCTTTTTAATGTTCTATGAAAAATCTTTCGTTTTATTTAATCAATAATAACAAAAAATGTCAAGTTTTACTCTAAATTTTAAAATATCTATCGGTTGTCCAATATTTTTTATTATTGTTAGAAACGTTCAAGTGACTATCTGAATGTTAACTAATTTCATCTGTTAAGTATACTTTCTTTTTTTATAAAAGAAAGTACTTTTTCTTACAACGTATTATGTTGTTGTCAAGGAATTTCTTTAGGATTAAAATTTAATAAAATTTTCTCTAATCGTATTAGAAAATATTTTTTATTGTTTCTTCTTTTCGTGTTGCTGTTGTGTTGTCTTGTTTTCTTATTATTTCGTGGATCTATCATTATCCATTGTTTTTTTTTTTGTTTATCTGTATGTTTGTGATCGATTTTTAATATAATGTATCATTTATTATTTAAAATAATTAAATAATGACATGTGGCTATATGAAACATGTTTAAAAGCAGTTGCATCCTATGCTTCATTGTACATAAATGATGAATTTGAACAGTTATGTGATAAAGTCTTAAAAGATTTATTATTCTATGTTTCACCGTATGAACTTGAACGGATTGAGATCATCTATGAAAGACGTCATATTGTTACAAACGATGTTTGGCGTAGACATTTTGACCTTGTATGGTCATTATCTCGTGACGATAAAGATTTATATGAATCACAATCAAATGATGTTATACCATATAAACGATTGTATTTTGAATATTTATTTCACGATAGTCAAGTACTTCAATTAGGTATTTATGTTAATATTAATAGTAAACCACAACGAATTATAGATTTATCAATATATGAACATATTAAATATAATTTGAGTAGAGAATCAGTTATTTATTGTGCTAAACAACGTCTCATTGAAACATCAACACTTTCTTTTCTATGGAATTATGAATGGAATCATTATATCAAACGTTTTATTCTCATACCAAATACTTGGAAATTATTAAAAGCCGATGAACAAATGATTTATTGTTTTATGAATGATGTCACTGATTTAGTTCTTAGCGGATATCCTACAGAAACGGATATTAACGGAATGAAATTTGTTTTAGAGTTATTAACACGTGGAAATATAAAAAGTATTGTTCTTAAATTTCCATCCTATTGTTTAATGAATATTCTTGCTCCTTTACTTATCTATCCAAGAAGTTATTCTATTTCTTATTTATGTAATATTCAAAAAATAAATCATTCCGATTTAAGTTTAAATACAGAGTTAAAACGACGTTTTGTATTACCATTTCTTAAACGAAAACAAAAAATGTGTTTACAAGTACAATTACATACAACAAACGAATCATCAGTACCATCACTACCTATCAGAGGATCATTACCAAATTTTAGACAATTATCATCAATATCAATAGAAAGTAATCATTCGATAGTCACACAACAAAGTTCAACCGATACAACAAATGCTATAATGTCCGATTCAATTAGTTCACGAACCAATATTAGTGATTCAATCGATTTTCTTATATCATCACCAAATACGGTGATACAAAATCATTCATCATTAACAAATCATTTGACATCAGTAGAAACAAATTTTTTACCAGACTTAGTTATTCAACAACATAACAGATTTCAACCGCGACAATCACAATTACCAACAACAACGATTCTATCGACAATTGTTTCAAATCATATTCTACCAACAGCTCAAATAATACCAGTGGATAACAATACTCTTCCACAAGGTCAGATCTGACATTCCTTTTGTATTATAACTGGCAAATGTTTCACTGTAGATTCAACGTTTGATCACGAAATTAGTCTTTCCACACTCAATCAACATTATGAAGAACAATTAATTCATCATTTAAATCGATCTCGGACGTTAATTCATTTTCGAAATCCATTATTATCATTGACTAATGATGTGGTATCAACACGTTATATCGCATCAGAACGATCCATGTTATCACCAGGCACACGATCATTTCCTGCATTATCAATGCCACTTCTACAACAACCATTTTCATTGAGCGATAGTAATATCTATAATCGGCCGACAACGGTAACATCAAGACCATTTTCTAATGGTTTAATCGAACCACCACCAGTAACAAAGGCCATTGGAGAAAAAAATGAAACAATTGAGGAAAACGGTGTACTCTTACATCTAACAAAACAGAATCAAATATGCTTTCTTACTAGTTTATCAATCTATTATGTATCGAATCATGAAACAATTGAATTATTGGCCATCGCTCTTCTAGGTATGCATCAAATTAATTATTTAACATTAATCAATATTGGTCTTTATTCATCACAATTAGAAACAAATTTATTAGAACTATGTAAACGTTCTCAATTACAATCGTTACATATAGGCAGTTTAACACTATCCAAAGGAGCTTTAGGTTTTATTATCGATTTGTACACAAATTATGGTGTTAAATTAAATTGTTTAAAAATGGATGCTTTGAAATTACCACTAGAAGCTCTAGATCTTATTAGTACACTCGATTTTGAACAACAACATTTTCTTATGAATTCCTATTTGGCGCGTTTTTCGTGGAGTGAAAAACATTTTCAACATATCCATATGCATCTACTAGTGAAACTATTATCAAGTGCAAAAAATATTCTACGATTAGATATATCATCGATGCTGGAATCAGATACTATATTGGATGAATGGTGCCAACATATCACTGAAAATTATCATCAAATTAATGATTTGAGAATACGAAATATTCGTTTGAGACCAAATATATTGGAAATATTTCTCTATTCACTACGTGCTCAAGATAACAAGATAAAAATTTTACATTTGGAACGTTCAAGTTTAATATGGAATTTTATTACACAACAAGCATTTACTAATTTTATTATAAAGCAAAATAATTATTTAAATGATTTAAATTTAGCCTATAATAATTTGGATATAACATTTGTAAAATGGTTGTGTGAAATGATCAAAGAAAAGAAAAATTGTTGGTCAATATTGAACATTAATCTTAACTTTAATATTATCTCATATGAAGCAATGATGATGTTATTACATACATTAAAAGACTATAGAGATAAATGGCATACGAAAGCCGTGAAACGAATCGATTTATTAGGAAATGCATTAGATTTAAACGAAATTTTGAGTTTAAGAAAAGAATTTGCCACAGTTGGATGTGATATAATCACATGATGCTATAAAAACAGAAATAATAGAGCTATTGTCAGTGCATTCTGGGATGGTGTAGTCGATGACAGTCTTATAAAATTGATTTGTATTTCAACTTCGTATGAGAATGACCAATGATATTCACAGCAAATCAGTCTGTACATGACGTATCTCTCACGTTTCTGATTCTTACTTCTACGTCAGTGTATTAACAGATAATATGGAAAAAAATTGGTGAAATGTGTGACTTATTAATTACACTTATAAATTACCAATTATACCATTGGTAGTCTTTCCAACTCGTTTTTCGGTCCATCGAGGACCAGGGCGTTTCTTAATTTCTTTGTCTGTGAGGAGGTACGATAGATAAGCTTTGTAACGTAGCACGTTTGCCTGTTTTGGGTGCCGCCACTGCTATCGCTAAATAAATAGGTTGTATGATTAGCTTGCATGATACGATTAAAAGCATGAACGAGTTTCTCTTATTGTCTCCAAAAGGTAATTCTGTCCACGCTGAATTGCTGATTGTTGCTGTTTTACGAGATCCACGAAATAGTTTTTCACTTGTTTTCGAAATGCAGGCGATGCGGAGATATAAACATAAAATGGTGATGCTAATGTAACATACCACAACAAAAAAGTCAAGTCCAGAAAAAAACTTTCTTACGCAGTACGCTCGATGTTGTGAGTACTATTGCTGCTATCGCCGAACGAATAGTCTGTACAAAAAACGGGAGCACGAACAGACCGACAAAGAGGGTTTACATTAGTAGCATCGATGTTAATTGTGCTTCTATACGTCGATTACCAACATTGCGCAGTTGAATTGGCGCTATTCGTTGGTGCATACTATGGATATTTTATACTGGAAAAGTATTGGTAATATCTAGGCAAATAAATATATATATAATATAGAAACAACAATTTAATCTATCCATTTTTATTATAACAATCAGCTTTTTATTCTTGTTAGCAAATGCCCTACCGACATTTGAATTTTCCATTGTAGAAAAACTCATCAAAAGGATTAGAAATTTTTTTTCTAAAAGTAAATCGCGACTTGAAATGTACGTTTTTAATGTTGGATCACAGTAGCTTATGTGAAGCATACAATGTTAAGCAAATGAGTACCGATGTTATTTGAATATTAATCTTTTTTTCTTATTGAAACTTTGGACTACAAAAAAAATGATTGGACCACCAACTTTTTAATTCATTAACAAGTTGCTTTTAAGTTGAAAAATGTTTGCTTTTGCTAGAAACAGCGTTTTAATTCGTAGATTTTGGAGTGCGTATATTCTTGATCAATAGTAGTGTTAAATCTTTCGATAAGAAAATCAAGCAAAAATGTATGCATCTTAATTAGAGGGATGAGGATATCAGATTATTAGGCTAAAAGTAGTTCAGTTGATAGTCTTGCGAAATTGATTTCGAAATACAAGCATATCAATCAGAGGTGTGTGGTCCACGGGTTTCGACCCGCGGAGCCACGTGGCGATGGGCGGGCGGGGCAAGAATCTTCAAGGTCTGCACGGGTTCGGGCGAGTACGGGTAGTGTCGACATACGGGCGATCCGGGGCGGGTAAAGCAGTGAAATGAAACATACGGGGATCGGGCGGGTGGGGAGCGATGTGCACGGGAAGGCGGAGTGTAAAATTTTTCTTTGAGACCGTTTCGGACCGTGAAAAACTATTAAGAGATTTGATTCTCTTATGCATCTAGGAAGAAACGCATGTTGATGACTAGTCCCTTATTTTTGACCTATAGAAAGCGATTTGGCTCATGATTTGTTTGTTTCATATCATTTTTCATATTGAACGCTGATCAGCACGTGAGAAAGTGATTGCAGTTCATTTGATTCTTAGAATCGATGTTTGACATAGTCCTCATCTTTATCAATATTCAACATTCAAAGTTATGAATTATTACCAGATGAACCCTCCGATGTAACGATCTCACTAAAAACTGCTTATTGGTACTCAATTGCTTGCAGTTACTTGTTTAAGGCTCAATTTATGGCGTGAACTACGTAGAATACAAGGCTATCTGATCTTCGCAATAGAGAAACTGAAGAAAATACAATTATGTAAACTCACAGAACAAATATTCCAAAACTATCTCCATGATAGACTTTATTTGTCACTGCTGCAGTAAAAGATGAAAGTCATCGCCATCACGTCACTGGAAAATTCTCACAAATTTTTCGGAGTAAATCAGAGCGAAATTTTTTAAAAAGTATGGGGGGTTACCCGATTCCGATTTTTTGATACGCGGGGGAAAAAACGGGTTCTAAGTTTTCAAGACTTGAAACTCCAATGGAAACAAAGGAGATTCTGGTAGTTCGGCAGAAAAACTTAGAAAGTAGCATAATGAAAAAAATTCAGCGCATCCCCCAGCAAAATCCAGCGTACGTAAGACAGACTAAGACTGTTTTATTCACGAAAAGTGAGAGTCATCAAAGGTCACTGACCTGTAATAACAATGACTCAAGCCAAACAACACAAAAAGAGTAATAAAAAAGAACAAAATAAATAAGACAACTAAGGTTAGAACCAAAAGTAGTAAGAAAAGAACAAATTTTTTGAAAAAAATAAAAGAAGTAAGCAAAAAAGAATAAACATAAATTCTTAACTGACAAATGTTTCACTGGAGGAGATACTGACATAAAGCTGTTTTGAAAGACGTTAAAGAAGAAAGACAAATAACTGACTCTGGGAGATTATTCCAGTCAGCAATAGTTGAATAAAAAAAAGAAGAATGCACCGTTTGTGGAGAATAACCATCAACAGAAGAGTGAATGCGAACATATTTAGAATGTTGAAGACGTGAAGATGAATAGTATAAAAAAGAGAAACAGGACTTCGACGATGATAAATTTTGAAAAACTGTAGAAGTCTAAAGTATTTATGACGAAGAGTGAGATTTGTAAGAGAAAGTTGAGACACAAGTAGAGAACTAGAAGAACGATAGTCAAAATTGTGAGAAATAACACGAGAAGCAAGTTTGTTTACCGAATCAAGAGCAGTAAGAGAAAACGAACTGTCAAACAAGGCACAGCAATAGTCAACCTTGGGAAGAACAGAAGAAAGATAGATTCGACGCCGAACTTCAGTTGGAGCTAATCCAAAGACACGATTCAATGCTTCATGCTTGCGCCGACAAGCAAGAGCAATGTCCTTGGCATAACCATTCCACCTAAGATCGTGCGAAACAAGAACATCAAGACAACAGAGAGAGGAATACCAGTGAGATACAATTGATTATAAACGTACGGAAAGAGGTTGAATGAGAAAGGAAGCCAACAACATTTAGAAACGTTTAAAGACATGAGATTGGAAGAAGACCAGTGAGAAACAGAGTTTATATAGTTTTGAAGGTGAGAAAAATTAGAACAACCAGTAGAGGAAAGAAGAACAATCAAAAAAACATCATCAGCAAAGAGACAGATTTCACAATTAGGTGGAAGCGACAGAGGTAGATCGTTAATAAAAATAAGCAATAAAAAAGGCCCAAGCAGTTGTTGCCATCAGCACGGCCTTTTTTCCAAATTTCGTACATTTTGAGTAGCGCTGGATTAGCCAGCCACTGAGCTCGGTTCCAACATTAATCGAAATGACTGAAACATACTGTGATATTATTGCAATTGATTAGTTATTTATTTATTTTCTACAAAAAAAAGTTCAATACACTGCTCACTTTTTTGTTTGTTAGTCGAGCTGTCCAATCCTAAAGTAGAGAGACTTACGTCATCTATACTAACTTTCTTTTAACACAAAGGGTTATTGTAGTGCTTATGTAAAATGTTTATAAAAAATTTAGAGAAAAAAATTTTCCTTGTTAGAAAGGAAAAGATTCAAGAGTACCTCTCCACATTCACAGCATTAACTTTCAAAAAAAAATGTCTGAAAGGTGGCCACAAGTAGTTGTTATCGGAGTTGTTTATTTCATTTTCGTCGTATATTAGATGGCTCTGAGATTCCAGATTTAAACAAATGTTCTGCTAACTTTTTGTATCCAGGATGTTGATTAACAATAAACCACAGAGAAAATTTCTTTAAAAATTCTCTTGTTCTCTTTCGCTAAAATATACGAATTAAATCATCGACTTTTCAGTTATTCACGTTTTTTAATGATTTTTTCTCGAAGGTTTTTACTTTTAAAGTTCTAGTAGACGACCTTTTATCATCCTGGTTTCTTGTTGCTGTTTTAGATAAAAAATGTCCTCAGCATCGGCATTGATAACGTCCTTAGAAGATATAGCAAAAAATCCTAAATTAGACCATTATGATGAACAGTTATGTAAAGAAATTCATCAAAAATTAGATAAAGAAGCAAAAGAGCAAGATATGAGCTACACAGAAAGATTTGAAATGGTTCGAATTTAAACGTTTCTCTCGTGCATCTGATAACATATTTCAATTTGGTCTTTATAGGCAAAGAAAAATTTGTTCACACACAGTAAGTGGGCAGAAATATTTCCAGCGGGCGTTGCACAATGTTTAAAAGAATACTGGAAAGAACGCTCGAGTTCAGCACCACTTGATCCACGTTTTCCAAATTCAAATCAAACAAAGTAAGATAAGATCATGTTTCGCTTCTGTTTTTCATAGAGGCCAGTATATTTGATTATTTTAGACGTTGTTGGGTTAATTATGTTGACTATCATCGTTGTATGGACGTCAAACAAGACGAAAAAATTTGCGGATATTTTAAACATTTATACAAAGATTTATGCCCTCATTCTTGGGTAAGCTTGCAACTTTCTTTTTTCAGAGACGTATAATTAAAAAGTCATTTCTCTTCTCGCATGCTATTTATTTTGATTTCTTAGCGCTTTTCGATCATCTCAAATAATTCTCATTCTGAGTTTGTAAGAGATACCAAGTAAGCACCAATTATGGTTATTAACCAATAACCGTAATCGTAAATAACCAGCCGAACGGTTAACTATTGACTCATCACTAAAGTCTCACTTATACCATATACAGCTGCTAAATTTTTGCATTTTTACCCAGAATGCCATCTTTCACGCATTCTGATGAGCTGACAAATTTCATTTAGACATAAATCAACGACATTACTCTCATTTCGAGTAAAAAACAGCGGAATGAGCATGTCACAACGGTTAACCGTATGGTGGTTAATGTCTAATACCAAGAAAGCAAAATTTTGTGTCTTTTTCACGATGTTTTAGGCTTTTTCATTATAATTATTCCTTTTCCGATTTTAGGTTGAAAGATGGGATGAGGAACTTGAAAAAGGTGTATTTCCTGGTATCAATAATTAGAAGTATCCACACCAAAGTGAATGCTCATTATAGAAACTATTTTTTATTCAATTCTCTTCGAAAAAACAATTATTTCCTCCCATTGAAATATAAACTAGCCCTGTTTTTTTCTTTTGCGTCTTGTAGCCAGTAGTTTGTATTCGATTGGTCACGTTTTTTGCCCGCTGTATTTTTTATATAATAAAAAGTGTCTCAAATATTGGTTTCTTTTTTGTTTGTTGCCTGTTAAACTTATTATCACAATAATCCTTTGCGTAATCCTGACGCGTTGGAGGAAAAAAAACACAGAAAAAGTCGTAACAATGCGATCGACGGATTGAATGGATTTTTTGCTTCATTTAACCCTCACATCACTGTCTGGAGTCCGCCCGGACCAGTTCCATTTTAACGCTATATACACACAACAGTAAATAAAACCTCGTCGCTTTAGATATGCCTTAGCAAGATTAGTAGAGTACGTTGATAATAAGCCGTTGTTGATAAGAGAGTCTAGTCCAAAGTAGATTCAAACGTTTCTTCACCATCTGGAGTTCGTACGGATCCCAGATTGATAAAACAGGAGCGATGTACGACGTTAGCATCAGGCTATACTAGAACTGTAGGGGCTTCCCAGGAGACTTCATGGCAAGGGAAAGCAAACAGAAAGGCAATTGTTTTGAACTATAATGGGTACAAAGCAATTCCCATACACAGTAATCATGCATAAGATTCCTTGTATTTTCGTATTTCTTGTATTGTATTCTCTCAAAATTTTTACGCTCTTTTTACTGAGATATGTTAAGGAAAAGTTCGTTCTTTCCCTCATATCACCACCTAGGGTCCGCCTGGATTCCATATTACAATACTTCATTTAGATTCCTCATTTCTGTTCTGTCCATTTTGCATTTTATATCTCTCTTCGTTTCTAGAGAATGTTTCCGAGGTTTCTATCTGCTAGAAGTTTCCAGAGCTTCCTTTTTACCTCATATTGTAAGTGAAAGACACCTCTCGTACGCTTACGTGCCATGATAGTATATGTGTAGATCATTCTTTATTCTGTTCTCTCCTTTCTCGTCATCATCTATTGACTCAGGGGAAATCTGAATACTATCTCATAGGTGGTGATATGAGCGTTTATGTATACGGGTGACAATGGGCAAACCGGATTTAGGCTCATATAGCTTTTGACATATAAACAAAACAAAAACATTCGATCTGCTTGTTGATCAGGGTTAGTACTCATTGTAACTGAAAACAATGACCATTCTGTTTGTTTTTTCTTACAGTGAAGTCTCCTGCAAAGCCTCCGCAATTCCAATATAACCGAATGCTAACTTCGTGTATTGTTCCTATTTCATCAACATGGGGTCCGTACAGACCCTAGATAGGAACCAGGCTACTATTCCATAGGTGGTGATATGAGGGTTAAACGTTGTTTTTTCAGCATAACTGCGTCATACGAATCGATTAATTAGATGTCACTGTTAGTGGAAAAGTGTACGCTCTGTTCGGTTTTTCTTTCATGCATCTCTTCTATTTTTCTTTTTAGAAGTTTTACCTATTTGATTATTTAATTTAAAACTTTTCATCATTCATTGAAAAATGGAGAATATGAAAATAATTTACGGCATACAAGGCCGTCAAAATATATTTCCCTACCATGCACTTGGTCAATTGTATCGTGTTCCTTTACGGTGGTATTATTCAAATTCTCGTCCATTTCGCATAACACATCGTATTCTTGCCGGTGCTGTTCTTCTACAATTATATCTTGCTATTACGCGTAAAGCTGATCTTGCTTATACACCATATACAATGGTTCATCATCAACTAGATCATAAATTTGCCCATTGGCTCGATGATCTACGTTATCCACCAAATAAAGAAGAAGTCGAAAAATTCAAAAAAGAACAAGGAATTAAAAATTAAATATTAGACACATATGTACGAATACCCTAGGAAAGACACACAAACTGTTACGTTTTTTTTGTCCCGAAGGTAGCATCCAAGTGTATTTTTTTAGTATAAATAACCTCGTTTTTTTAAAACAATAAACTATAGTATCAGACTAATGGGCTAGATAAGTCGGCGCAGTGTGTTTCAACTTTATTAACATGTTGCTTTGCAGAATCTTTCCCAAATTAAAATTTGTTTGCCTTATTTAGTTTAGTATTTCATGTCTTCTACTACTATTGACGTATATGATGCTGAATTGCATTATACGTGTCTGATTATTATGCTATGTCCTATCATATGGAATATCCTTGCACGCTTCTGCTATTTCATTACACCAATAAATGCTTCAAAATATAGACGATATTTAACATGCTATTTATTAACAATATGGATCTTCTCTTTTTCGTCTTATCGTGATTATTTAATTCGACAAACAATTCAACGACATGGAAAATCAGTCTTACTCGAAACATATTCTGGCTTAATATCACCACTAGCAGTTCTATTATTTATTGTTGGGCAAACATTTGTTTGGTCATCATTTTATAAATTAGGTATTACTGGAACGTTTTTGGGTGATTACTGTGGAATTCTAATGGATGCGCCAGTGACAACATTTCCTTTCAATATTTTAAATAATCCAATGTATGTGGGATCATCATTATCATTTTTTGCTATGTCACTATATTATTCCTCACCGACTGGTTTATTAGTTACAGGAATAGTTTATATTTTTTATCAAATTGCAGTCTTTTTCGAAGAACCATACACACAAAAGATATACGCACAGAAACACAAATAAATTATTATTATGGTTTGTTGAAAGAATAAATTATTGATTATGTTTTTATTCTTTGTTCAGAAGGATAGCTAAGAATAAGAATGTGAATGCAAAAGAAACCAGCTGTCAGTTCTAAAGTACTGCATGAATCTAGAAGATCTAACACGCTAACTGTACGGCTTGTCCACGTAACGCGACGCTTGGCTGATCAAGCTTTTTTTGAATTTTTTTCATCGGAAAATCGATAGGGACACATCACTAGGCACAGCGTTTCCTAGCTAAAAATCTGACTTTTTTTTGAAGAAAAAATTAATTTTCAATATAAAAATTCTAATTTAAAATTTTAAAAACATACCATTGAATAGAGAATTCAATTCTCTACAAAATGGCTCATTTTGTTTTGAATCTATTTTCCAGTCGAGACACAGTGGCTGTTTGAACGTTTCAATTTCCGCCTTGGTCTGAAAGCCTCAGAGACTTTTTCGAACTTTATTTTCAACTGGAATCTTTTCAGAAAACCTAGAACTACACAAACTATAAGTAGGAAGTTTTTTGAACAATGTTTAGTGCCTAAAAAATGGTGCGACAAAAAGTGTATCACAGCGTTATTTTACAAAATCGACTTTTCTAGGCGTGCGGGAGGGTTTGGGAGAAAGTATTTTTTACCAAAAGCCCGTTAGCTTCTCTACAAACTTGCCTCTAGAAACTTTTCAGATGCACAGCTCAATTCGCAGAAAATCAGAGCTGTATCAAAAGTTCTCAAAAAATAAGGACCTTTTCTGTCACAGCGTTACTCGCCGAAAAATCTTTCTGGAAGCTCGAGTCTTGGACCGAAAATCTTCGTTTTTATGTCGTAAGTATAGTTTGATGAAGTGCGTCGAATGGCGTCAGAACGAACTTTCTAAGCTCCTACAGTATGAGAAAAATGCAGATTACCGTATCAAAAATGTCACAGCATTACCTTTGGATAAGCCGTTTAAATTTCCAATCTTCGGTGTTAGAATTGAGGAAACTGAACCCATTCCTGAAAATATCAACGTTTATGTTTTCCAGATTTATTCTCTGAACACATATATTTTGAGTTCAATTAAATGTCATTTTCGCTCTATGAAATGAAAATAACACAAAATAGTGTAGAGAATTTCAGTAGCCTGTTTTTTATTATTGTCAAAAACTAATAAGTTGGTAGTTGAGAAAGCTTTTCTCATCTAGTCATCTATAAATAAATTCTCATGTAGTCATCTATGTCATTTATAGAGAATCCAAATTATCTAGCACACTATAAAAAAATCTATCTTATCACTAGAAGCATGTATCCGACTTATATCGTCTTATTTTATACAGGATGAAATTATGCTTCGTAATACTATTTAATAATATTTTTAAACAAAAACTTCGTGGTCACGTTAGATTGATTAGGGAGCGCAACTAGGATTTTTAGACTTTTGGACCATTCTTTATTAAGTTATAAACATCAATGGGGCTAAGTAAGTTGAAGATTTTCTATGTCTAGGTCGGAAATTTTTTCGACTGTTGCTATTTCTGATACTAGCATTTTCCTTGCTCCTCTTCACCGTCGTCCGAGAGGATGCTTTAGATTCTCGTTAATCTTTTTTGTGCAAAAGAACCTTATTATTGAACCTACCATCAAGTTTTATACATGTCAATGAGCATCTTCATAATTAAAAGAAATAACACGGAGGAAAGAGTCAGTAATTTTGTAAAATTGTCATTTGTTAAAATCCATAGACTAAACGTCGTGAATGTTTTTTTGATATACAAATTTAATATTTCTTGCAGTCAATATAATCGGGAAAATTGCATTTTAAGCACGGTTTTTAGACTCAAATGAGCACGAAATGGATTATTTGAGCACGGACAATGGATCTGTTTCATATGTTCTTATTTCTTTACTTCCACCGAAGAAAATATATTTTAAAATCAAAAAACGAAATTAGTGACCTATCAATCATTTTTCATCCGAGAACAGGTAATTTAGCTTTTTTGAACATCCTCTTTTTTTCCCAAAATCTTGTAAACTACTAGGATCTGCCACCACGTAATGTCTCAATTGCATCATTAGACCGACTGCGTGTTTGCAGAATAATCTTTTAAAGTTATTTTTAGACGAGTATGTCATTGGCATAGTTACTAGTCTTCCCGAATACAACCAAGTGGAAAATTACTGAAATGTGGTATAAGGGAATGATCTTGTTGCAACCCTGTTAAAGGTAGCATTTGTAGCAAAAATGAAGAAGGTATGTATTAGGGTACTTATGTATTAGATGGTCCATCACCGACGAAAAATATCCGTGTTCAAACAATCTTTTCAATTAAAACCGTGCTCCTTTCAGTCTAAAAACCATGTTGCGAGAAATCTTCGTCCATATCAATGTCTCTACAATCCAGTAGCAAGTGCTCATTCTTTCATTGTCGACCTCGCTTATGATTTTATACGGAGAAAAATATCACTTTTACTACTTCAAGTAAGAAAGAAAGATTTTCCAACAAGGTGTCACTAACTGTTTTAAAATTTACATTTTTCAGAAAAAATCTTTTTTTCTTTAAAATTTGCTTGCTGCATCTAGAAATTGTTCACAATGCATCTAATCAAGAATTGAATTCTGCATAAAATGAAATTAAATAAATCTTAAGTCTTTGACCGTCCCTCGTGAAAAAAAGAATACGCAACCAACCTATGAGAATATCTTAGTATTGATTTTATGATGCTCCTTCAGATTCTGTAACGACATACAAGAACCGGATTTTCTATTTAGGCTTTAAATTTTGGCTACTCGCATATTCACGTAGAAAAGAGTTGTAGATGGTTTTTAATATTTGAGGAAAATTGCCTGTATATGCGAGTAGCCAAAATTTAAAGCCTAATTAGATAGAAAATCCGGTTCTTGTATGTCGTTACAGAATCCGAAGGAGCATCATAAAGTCAATACTAAGGTAACAATGCAATCGGGGACCGAGGAGCTGAACATATTGGTGGTGCTCTTAGAGAAACAAAGTAACCAGTGTATCCCTGTTGTTATTAGACACCCTCATCTCATTATTTTTAATAGATACTCGAGGTACTTCACCTTGGGGGGCGTGAGGGATGAGTTTTATCTAGCTCTCGTTTGGATCCGAAGATTATAGACTAAATCTCACAGCTCTCACGAGGCGTTTCAAACCCGCTGCTGGCGTCATCTGGTGACAAAAGTATATCTCTGCACTAGTCTATTTCAATCGACAAGAGTCAAAGGACGGATGGTTTAGTGTTTTGTATGTTGAAGAGGATTTGTAGCGCCCTCTTCGATACGTTGTTGAGTACTTTCGACGTGAGTGGTTCGTTTATAGGCTAGGTTTTCGCTAGGAACTCCCGAATGGTATGTTTTACAGGTAACAGTTTGATGCTTTGCGTGGATATGCAGGCTTACCGTGTTCGTTTTGTCGACTTTTCTGACGTGTGTCGATGACATTATTTTCTATTTCACGATGCATGAATTCGTCGATTTGTCACAGTGATCTCTGCTTGGTGAAGAAGATCGGGTTGAAAGAGATTCGAATGAGATAGAGGTTATGCTGATGAATGAGAATTGGCGTACATCTGTTCCAGATGGTCGAGTTTACTGCTGCCATGGGTGCTCAGTAGTGAGTAATATTATGAGGGTGAATTCATGAGAAGTGTACCACCTTTCTGGAAAAGGTTCCTGTCAGATATTTGGTTATATTCAAGATCAAGTTGCCTGAGAGTTTCGTGCACGTTCAATGCTTCGGCTCCCCGAACCGATATTTCGTTTTTGTTCGCTCTCAATGCTTCAGCCAGCGCGTCGACAATCACATATTGACAAAATATGTGACTGGTGTAATTCAAACCTCATGGCGCTTAATCCTAGCAAGTGTGCATGAATGTTTGTTTCTAACAGCCCAAATAAAGCTGATGCTTTTCAGTTTAAATTACGCGACGGTTCCATCATTCAGCGCGGACAAAGTCTAGTCCTTCTAGGTTTAAAAATCAATTATAACCTTAGGTGGCGAGCACATATAGACGACCTGGTTAAAACCTGCAGGCAACGTCCAGGTGCTTTGTATCGCCAATTTAAAGAGGCTCCTGCTTCAATACAGCTTCATACTTTCAAGACATGTGTTTTGAGCAAGCTCGATTACGCCTATGCATTGTATGATAGCAAGTTCGTGACAT